TACCATAACTTTACCATGTCAGCCTTAATTTACCATAACTTTACCATGTCAGCCTTAATTTACCATAACAAACTTACTTTACCCTATCAAACTTCATTTCATCTGTCCCTTGACTTTCATTGTGACAGTTTGTGTAACCAATGCCCTCCATTTTTCCTGGCCAGTAGGCCTATCTGTTCTTAGCAGCATACCAAGAGAGAGGCCGGTCCATTCTTTTATGTTGTCCAACCAGATTTTCTTTAGACCACCCTTTCTTCATGCTTCCTGCACTGTACCTTGAAGAATGACTTTTGAAATCACTTGGAAAAACATAGCCTATAGTTTTATGTAAATTAGAAACAATACAATAGAATATCTGTCCCTTAATTCAATTTGTAGTACTATTTTGTTTATTAAAAATTACTATGATTACGCATTATTTTCGTTGTCCTGATGCTTGACATCTTTTCTAGAATATAAGTATATTTATGTCAGGTTGAAGTTTGCAACTGGGGATATATTGAGTAACAAGTCCTAGTTTATGAGAACTGATTTAGCTTTCGAAGTTGGTGATAATAAAATCTCCCATCGTGGGGCCTCCTTTAGGCGCAGGGTCTGGGGCGGTTGCCCCACTTGCCACCGTCTAAGGCTGCTACTGTACATCAGTCATCCAACATGACATATTATATGTACATCAGTCAAACAACATGACATATCATGGGGGAGGGAGTTCTACCTCTTCTCCCCCAATAAAGAAAACTGCGGGGAGGGGGGGGGCAGCTTGGAGTATGTAGTTTTTTTCCCCATTGAAACTCCATGCAACACAACATATTATATTATATCGGCCATACAATATGACATTCTATATATGTATAACATGACTTAATTGCACGCTAATCATACAACATGACGTTATTTGTATTTCAGGTATACCACTTATGTACCCTTCTTGCGTGACTCATACCATACTAAGCAGTGTATTAACATATTAGACACTTCTGGTGTTAGTAAAAAATAAATAATAGTTTTTTACCTTGTTATCTCCCTGTGAATGTTATTTGTTACAAGAATTTCTATTATTGTCAAATAACGTCAAGCAAATAAGTTATCTCCCTTTCCTGCTATCGAAATTACTTTAGCTTTAGGCCAACTTAAACATCTATATTTCTGAACAATTTTAAGTCAAGTAATTAAAGTTAATTGTAGGCGTCATAGTTGTTTATAGTTAATATACAAAATTTAAGCCAATTATGTTAGTTCATACTTAATTTTTAAAAAAAGCAGGAAAAGATATGAGCTAATTGTGAGTTACACTAGAAATGCATTCTTCCCTAGTGCTATTAGAGCATGGAATGGGTTGCCTGAGCTAGCCAGAAAAACCAGTGACTTGGCAGAATTTAAGTCATTGGTTAATATGCATGACTAAATGCATGACGCGTAGGACGTAATCATCTTCTTTTTTGAAGTAACGTCTGTATTATATAAGATAAGATAAGATAAATGTTTCGTTAATATGATGAGGAATCCAGCAAGCCCCATCAATGCAATAATAATTATTTTGAAAGAATATGTTTAGACTTTTAGTATTGGGAGATAAAAACATCGTCATGGATGATCACGTGTTTTAACATCTCTGCTTAAGGAGTGGATGTCTGACTTAGTGTCAATCCAATACTTAGGCTGCTAATTAACAATAATAAGGTTTCTCTTACGTCCGAAGCAGCGCGGCATTTCCCCTGGTTAGAAATATGCAGTCCTTTGTTCTGGTCTACACCCCCTGGTTAGGGAAATATGCAGTCCTTTGTTCTGGTCTACATCCCCTGGTTAGAAATATGCAGTCCTTTGTTCTGGTCTACATATAAGTGGAAAAACAGTCTTATCTATTGATGCACTAACACTACATTATGATATAAAGAGTATGCAAGCCCACATCTTTATACTAAATGATGGCCTAATTGATTTAATATTGATCAGAACAGCATCTCTAGAAAAACGTTGAAACCACATACAATTGAACAAAATTATTGTGTCTTTTCGAATATTTTAAAAGTTATACAATCAGAAACTGTCAAGATTGATACATCCGATTTCTTGATTTCTTGCTGCTATTCAAGTCAAGATTTGTCAATATTATAAAATCGGTTTCTTCCCCTTGCATATCGTGTCGATTAAAAAAAAAATTAAATAACTCTATCTTGTATATAGAGTTCTTGGATATCTATATGGTCGTGAAGTCTGACGTTTCGATAGATCCCAAAGACTCAAACAACCCAATCAGCTCTGTCAACACTAATGGCGAATATCTGAGTTACTTTGCTACGAAAATATTTTTTCTTGTTAATCACGTGATCATCGACATGTGTATTTGTGTCTTTGGAATGGGTAACTGCCTTAATATTACAGTGTTTGTAAAGCAAGGACTGCGCATGTCAGTCAACTTGAGCCTATGTGCCATGTCTTTATCTGACCTTATCGGCCTCATCTTTCAAGTCCGGCACAACTTTTGCTTGAATCCTTATCTGGAACTTGCCGAGCTCCCGGTAGATTTTCACAAAGTACAAATACTGACAGCAGGATGTCCAAACATCGCTATGACACGCATCACTGGCTGGATCACTGTCTACATTACAGCTGAAAGATGCCTCTCCGTGTTGCTGCCATCAAGCATATAGTCACGTTCCGGAGATCTGTTGTCATTCTGCTCTTATGTTACGTCGTAAACCTGGCTTTCCTGATGCCTCTTTATTCGTCGAACTATCTGAGCTGGAACTTCTACCCAAGTCATCAAAACGATGCTGGGGGAGTCTTCTCGCAGCAACGAAGCTCTTGCAGACCTCATCATGAACACTGCTCACTTATACCTCTCTGTCATTGCCTTCTGCTGCGTTGTCATCTTTACCGTCGCCTTGGTGGTCAGCCTGAAGCGGAAGTCTGAATGGAGAAGACGCGTCACTTCCGACAGAGACCAGAACGAGGCTCGGTCCAGCCGTGAGAAGAAGACAATGGAAATGATTATTATGTTGGCTGCGATTCTTATCGTCTGCTACGCCCCAGGTGTCACGATTACCTTTGTAGAAATATTCAATTCCGAATTCAGAATATCTTCTAAACAAGCAAATATGTACAACGCCGTCTGGTCGTTTTGCTTCGTATTTAATTCTACCAACGCCAGCATAAACGTCATTGTCTATTACAAAATGAGTTCTAAATATAGAACTACAAACATGACATGTTTGTATGGCTAATAATAGCAACAAAACTTTTAAAGTCTTGTGACAATTTTTTTTTTTTTTTTTTTTAGCAACCCTTGGCTTCGTTTACAGCTAGTTTAGTAAAGTTATATGTTTGTTTTATTTTATTTACATGTTTCAGAGGTTCCTTCAGAGTTGAACATTATTAGATCCCGAAGGACTACGGTGGATGGCACCAGGCACGGATCGAATCCAGGACCATCGAGACGATAGTCCTGAGCGCATACCACACGACCGGGCTACCATCCAGTTGATCCAGATCTAAAAGTTGTATAATACTATTAGCAATAATAATAATAATAATTACATGTTACAAATAGCGCCGTTATCTAACATAACTTAGGCTTAACTAAAGCCGAGAACGCCTAATGTTTGTTTGTTTTACATGTTCCTTCTGACTTTAAGATAGTTTACTTCCTAGTCCAAACCTCCCACAGGACGACGGGAGATGGCAGCGGGCAGGGTTTGAACCCGGGACCATCGATAAATCCAAACGACAGTCCAGCGCGCAAACCGCACGACCAGGCAGCCATCCAACGCCAAAACATAAGACAGCCATGAAATAAAACAAAATAGATCTCAGTGGGTCGTAGAATTAAGTCTTAATGTTCCTTTTTTTTGAACGTGAAAATCTCTAGAGGCTCAAAGAGGAGCGAGCTTCAGACTCCATTTATCTGAGAGTCTACCAGGTCCATACGTTTTCGAGAGAAAGGTTTAGCAGAAAAAGAAGAGATGAATCAATGGAGAACAGGGCTCATGGGTGGACATTAGGAGTCATAAGTTCACCAACATACGAAGAGGTTTCAACACTGTTGATGCTCTGATGACCAGGTGTGGTTACCTTGTAATCGATTCTTGCACTCACAGGGAACCAAAGAGATTAGTAAGCATGTCAGAATCGCGTCTAGACTTGCAAAGTGCTTATCGAGTGGAATTGGAGACTCAGGCTTAACAGGTAATAGATCACGTGACTTGTTAAATCACGGGTAATTTTTATCTTCACATTCATATAGTTAAGATTGAGTGCAATTGAGAAATACGGTAAGCCTACAATATCAAGTTGGCTTTTGAGAAAGTTAGTCAGTTTATATTTAGCATCAAAAGGAATTATTTTATTGCCTTGAGACGTCCTGATTTGTCAGCAATAATTATCTTGTTGCGGCTGGAAGTTAGGACATTTCTAATTGTAGTTCAAATGGGACATAATCTACATGTTTCTGTATTTTATTCGTGGATAAATCCACATGGAGAGTAAGCCTGAGCAAGACAGGAAAACCAGTGACTTGACAGAATTTAGGTCATTGGTTAATATGCATGACTAAATGCATGATGCGTAGGACGAAATCATCTTCTTTTTTGAAGTAACGTCTGATGAAATGGGCCTACACACCAGAAGTAGAAAGAAAGGTGAAAGAGCAACAGCGCTTGGTGATTACAGATGCCCACCTGTGACCGCTGATGTATTGGCCTCTTTAGCCACACGCGGAGATGCAAACAGAACTATGTCTTGAGACGTAAGCTGCCACAGGAAAGGCTTTTATTTGTAGAATGACTTATGAATCAATGTTGACATTGTATTGCCAACTACTCTATTTTTTACAAAGCTTATATTAACTCTTTCCGGTAAAAAAATTTGTACACGTTATTTCTCCGATACCATAAATATAAATTAATATACAATCTTGTCTGATTGGCTAATGAACTCTAACAATTAATGCAAACATATTTTTTGCGTAAATCCTTAAGATAGTAAATGCAGAGACAAACTTATTTTTTGTTTTGTAAGAGCACTGTTTAATACAAAAAAAAAGTAAATATTTAATCGTCAAGTTTAAAAATAAATAACAAAATGAAATCATACAGACAGTGAACGATGCCAATAAGAGAACAAGTCAGTGAATGTGGTGGTAGATCTATCATATATACAAGAATAAATCAACTATCGATAAGTGAGACCAAATGACGGACATAATGATGATGATTTAATACCAGTTTCAACCAGTATAAACCAGACACTGAGGTATACGAGTCAGCGAGGAAGAAATATGAAACAAAGGAATATGTTGAAGGCACTCATTAGATACACAGCAATCAAACAAAACGAAGATTTGAGACGAGTTGCTTTTAAGTAAAAATGTTTTTGACTGCGTTGATGTTATATATGTTTGAGCCTAGATGTTCATGTTATGTTTGGGCCTAAATGTCTGCCTTTTTTTCATGTTATGTTTGGGCCTCTTTGTCTGTCTCCATGTTATTTTTGGGCCTAGATGTCTGTCTCCATGTTATGTTTGAGCCTCGATGTCTGCCTCCTTGTTCATGCTATGTTTGGGCCTAGATGTCTGCCTCCTTGTTCATGTTATGTTTGGGCCTAGTTGTCTGCCTTCTTTTTCATGTTATGTTTGGGCCTAAATGTCTGCCTCCTTACTCGCAATTGTTTCCAATTTAGCTTTAATTTACCAACCAAGTCTTGAATAGAAGGCAATATTTCCATTGTAATTGCAAATCACTAACTTCTTTTTTAAATCTTAAAATGTTCTAAAGTTGTAGTACAAAGATATCTATAATATCCATCTTTAAATTATCAATTGATTTGTATGTTTTTCACAACATTATAGTCAGGGGCGGACTGGTTATATGGGCGAACGGGCAAATGCCCGGTGGGCCGGTACCAAAGGGCCGGTCTGGTGGATTCTATATTCTGAGTCCTATTTCATGAACACACTAAAATACAGTTTCAACATTTTATAGGGTGGGAAGGGGGGATTTTCTATATTTTGTGCCGACATTTCGGCGGGCCGGAAGGAAGCACGTCACGGGCCTGATCTGGCTCGCGGGCCGTTTTTCTTCTGCCAGCTTTGTTCTCTTTTCCTCAGCAACCTGTGCGCCAGTTTTTACAGCGCGACGCCATGATGCTCTGTCATGTGCCTCTGTATCCCAGGTGGCTGAACGCTGAACGCCTTCAGAGAAGCTTTGAGGGTGTCCCTGAATCGCTTTCTTTGACAACCTTGCGAGCGCTTTCCTTCACTTAGTTGGCCATACAAGAATCGTTTAGGGATGCGGTGGTCTTCCATTCAGCATACGTGTCCTGCCCATCGCAGCTGGGACTGCATTAGGATTGTGTGGATGCTTTGCAGACCCGCTCTTTGAAGGACTTCAGTATCTGGTATTTTGTCTTGCCGTTTGATATTCAGTATATTTCACAGACATGTCATGTGGTAGTGATTCAGTTTCTTTGCAAGTTAACTGTACACTATCCATGTTTCTGTGTCATAGAGCAATGTAGGGAGGACGACGGCTCGATAGACCCCTAGTTTTGTATGTGTGGTGATACCACTTTAAAGGAATGGGGCCTGAGTCAGCCAGGAAAACCAATGACTTAGCATATTTTAAGTCACAGATCAACACGCATGACTAGATTGACACGTAAAATGCGTAGGACCTAATTATTTTAATTTTTTTGAAGAAAACGTCTGTAATCTATAAGTAATACCAAAAAGTTTGAAACTCATTAAGGCTGCTATTATAGTGTTTATAGTTTTCAGACTACATACATGTAAAAATATAATACATTATGTAAGCCTACGAAAGCATACAGTTTTCGATGCGTTATCAGACTTTATATATTTTGTATAGAATTAGGCTTACACCTATGATAAACACATGAGCGTAGCCAAGAGGGGAGGAGTTCAAACCATCACCGGCCTCAGATCTCATTGTCTGAAAGGGAAACTTTACTTACTTCCCCAGTGCAGCCAACTTAAGTAAACTACAGTCACCAAATTTCATGAGCGTAGCCAAAAGGGGATTTGTGGTTCCCTCCCCCCACTCCAATACAAAAACTAAAGCATTTTACCATTTTATACCAGTTGCTGGACTCCAGTGAATAGAAAATTTAGTTTTTGATTTTTTTAGCGAAAGAGTAGCAGGCTAATAGCACTGTAGATACCTCAAAATATGCATTTTTTTAAAGCTTAAAATAACGGAAATAATGCTCGGATCCGGGGCGAAGCCCCGACCCCACTGTGGATGCTTACAGCGCTCCCCCAGATTCCCTAGCTGTCCCTTGGCGGTGTATACTGCATTTCACTAATTATAGGAAGAGAGTATTCAAGGGTAGAAAAAACATTTAAAAGAATGAAAGATAAGAATGTAATGAAGATTAATTACATATACACACACTAATATATATATATATATATATATATATATATATATATATATATAATTGTGGAGGGAGTTTAAAATCCCCCCCCCCCCCCGAAAATATATGACATGACATTTGTGGGCCGGTTTATATGGTAATGCCCGGGCCGATTTTGATACCCAGTCCGCCCCTGATTATAATGTTGGGAATTTTTTTTATCAGCACTTATTATTGACTGTTTTTTAATTTACACTTTAAAGTGTCCATAAATCGGCAATAATATTTTTGTATTTATCATTTGAGTTTGTTTGTTTAGATTAGTCTCCTGATAAACTAGACATATGTGTGGCGAAATAAATACATTACAATGTATTTCTTTTCAATCGCACCAATCCAAACATAAAACAGGTGCTCAAAAAATAATTCGCCATTTAAAAGCAAGACAAATATAGATTTTTAAATACAAAGAGCCCCATGCATTTAAAGTTTTAAACTTATTCTCAATTATTAGAGTTAGTAATAAAAATTCGTATAGCTTTTTTTTTTTTTTTACCATATCACCATTTGGCATTAAAAAAAAATGAAATTGCTATATAGGGAACAAAATAATGTCTCATAATAACAAGAATGACTTGAAATCAAATAGATTTGGAGAATATAATTAGCTCAGAGGAGATTATTCTCAAATTCATACAACTACTTAATAAAGGTGCATTTTAAATAAGAAAAAAAATTAATTATTTAATAATTGACAAAAATGTGTGAAATATTATGCAACATAAATTTTACATTTAGCATAAAATGATATAAATGATGTAAAATTCAAATATTGATGTTTATATACAAGTAGAATCAACACAATCTAAGAATTTATATAGTAAATACGCCATATGAATCTTATTTACAGGAGAGCACCACTCTCAAGCCTCACAACCTCCTTTTGTGAATGCGCGGATGCGTAAGAAAAGCCAAGAAAGTCCTGCCCCTTGTAAATACATGTTTAAAATCCACTTTAATTGAACTTTCTAACAAAACACAAATTTATGGATCTAATAATTGTATACCAAAGGGGCCTATTAAACAGCTGAATGTTTCTGTTTCCAAATTTTCAACGGAAAACATTTTCTTTTAAATAAAACATGCCAAATTTTAACCTAATCTACAACTGAATTAAAAAAACAATCTGTCACTTTGTAAACATTAAAATTGCCAAATCTCACAGATTTAAGGATGGCAGTTGTAAAAAAAAAATAAAATTAAACAATGTTTAAAAAAATTGAGAGACTGTTTGAAACTTAGAAATGTCAAAATCTGATTTGCCAATTAGGCTTTAAAATATATTATACATTTTTTTGGCATTGTTACCTAAAAAAAAACAAACAAAAAAACAACTAATCATTGAACCCTACCACATGTTGCTGCTCTGGTTTGTAAGAAGGGTGGAGATAAAGTCAGAAATAGGACATAGATTAGTAACTAGCTCATTCATCACTAAAGACTCAGAAGATACAATTATTACCCTTTAAGATCAGCATCTCCTTTAAGAAACTCCACCTAACTCAACACCCGTAGGAAAACATAAAATGCCAAGCTGGAGTTTATAGACTGGTAATGGTCCAAAGATGAAGAAAACACAGCATGACCACAACTTAGTAGGCCTACTAGACATAAGTTAGGTTCTCGTGGACCAGCAGGCGATCACAAACTTTGGTTCCATCATTACAGTAGCTATGTCGCTTGCTTTGACTGGTCACTTCAAGGTCATTTTCACATGGGATCAGCAGCTTGGACATTTCAGGACACTGGTTCTCCCCAAATTCTTCCACTGGCCATTGTGATGTAACATAGGCGTCAGGCGGACATTTGTTGATGGAGCAAACATTTCCATAAGTGGGATTTAAATGGGGCTTCCTATTGTCATTTTCTGTACAAAGCAAAAAGTTACATAATAGAAATAATAGTATTGTATTTATGTTACCACATATAATGAAGGCTTAAAACAAATTGAAAACAGACTTAAATATAATATTAGAGAGATCTATTAGCTTATAAAATAGCCTCAATCTTCACTATAATATTAGAGAGATCTATTGGCTTATAAAGTAGCCTTAATCTTCACTATAATATTAGAGAGATCTATTAGCTTATAAAGTAGCCTCAATCTTCACATTTTTAAAGTTTGTGAAAATGTATTGTGAAAGTTAATATAGAGAATTTGTCATTTTGATTGTTAGTGTTGACACAGACTTATAAATATTTATTTCTAGGTCAGTGTTTGTAGAGTAGTACAAGTTAAAGAGTTAAAAGTTAAAGAGTTAAAAGTTAAAGAGTTAAAAGTTAAAGAGTTAAAGTTAAAGAGTTAAAAGTTAAAGAGTTAAAAGTTAAAGAGTTAAAAGTTAAAGAGTTAAAAGTTACATTACAATTCATAAACCATGAGTGAGATCTTGATTTTTATTAACATTACAAAACAATATCCTATTGTTCAGACTTAAAACTTACCCAAACTAGATATAAAGTACTTTTCATTGGACAACTCCAAATAGTCCTGCAAATGTACAATTTAGAATATATATACAGATTTATTTTAATATAAGAGCAACATCCTAAGAGCAACTCTACCTGGCCAGACCAGAAAGACATTTAGTGTAAACAAAAGCCATGCCCTTTAGGGGCTGGGTGGTTAAGCATTTGGCTTCCAAACCTGGTGTCCTGGGTTTGACTCCCGGTGTAGACTGTGAATTTTAATTTAGGAATTTATAGTGCACACCTAAATCCACCCAACTCTAATCGGTACCTGACTTTAGATCCCAAGGTTTGAAAGGGGAACTTTGCTTTAAAAGCCATGCCCTTAAACTACAATGATAAAGTATTAAAGAATTTAAGGTAAAATGCTTAAGAAGTCTTTTCCATACAGGTAGGGTATAATAGTGGTGATGCAGTGACTGAGTGGTAAAACACTTGGCTTCCCAACTGGTGAAGACAGGGATTTTACTTTCGGGATCTTTAGGGCACCCCAGCTCTAATGGATACCTGACATTATTTGTGGGAACATTAAGTCG